AAATCTAAATCAGCATATGTCTGTACAGATCACTGTGTTATAGAAATATAAACTAAAACAGTACTTAGCTGGGCACTAACAAAAATATGAAAAAAAAAAATAAATCATAGTACTCACCAAGTATGAGACTGAACAGTGCATCAACATCAGCTTAACTGTAACTCAGACATTATTGTAACTGGGAGAAATAATTGATGGTAAATAAACAGGCTGAGACTAGAATCCAGGAGCACAAGTGCACACTTGAAAAGAACAATTTAAGAGAAGACTGATGTGGTGAAAACTGTTACAGAAGCCCATCCAGATAGATAGATGGATGGATGGATGGATGGATGGATGGATGGACAGACTGACCGACCTCTATGTGTGCTGTGATAGACACAGCACACATATAGGCAAAGAAGTATCTAAAGATAAGAATGAGACAGAGTAGAACCAAATCCCTTTGGAATGATAAAAGACTTGCTTGCAATACAGAAATAAAACTCAGGATTAATAATGAAATTTTAGGTATTAATTTAAATCTCCAGATTTCTGCTCTTACAGCAGTCCCTTAATGCTGTGTTTCATGTATAGACAGACATACTGGGCCCAAATCTAAGTTTTACTAGCATAATGTTTATCCTGCTTTTTAATTATAAAGGATTCAACATACCATATGAATAGGTGTTTTCTGAAGTTAATGAAGTCTGTGTAACAGCTTTGTTCCTTAGACCAACCAGTGGGTGTAACAATTCTTCTTTGCTATTAAAATTCCCTGCTTCCTCAGTCCAGAGGGGAACATGATCATAGCTGTGGGAAAGGGCTGCAGAGCAACCAAGAAAGAGGAACATAACTCTGGTGAACCACAGGTATTTTTGAGACCTTCATCCCCCAATATAACAGAGTGACAAATGAAGTCTCTCAACCTGTCCACATTTTTGTCTTTTAATAGAACTCTTAAGTTTCATTTAATTAAAAGAAGTTGGGATTCACCAGTATTTAGATTTAGGCTTATTTATATCACACTTAAAATATAAAGGATTATGGAGATGAAAAGGAAGAAAATGTTGGAACATCAAAGCAGTTCATACTGCAAATGATCTGAAGGGCAACATATCATTTGAAACCATGAGAGATATAGCAGTTCTAGCTGGAAGTTTTCTGATCTTCAAATCATTCTTCAGAAAACGTCACAAATGGAAAGCAATTGAATCAGTGCCAGGGCACATTTACTTTCACAAAGACGAACAGAAATTCCATTATTTCTTATGGCTTACCAGAGAAAGCAGCTCAGAAGATTTCAACACATTTTCTAATTCACACAATTTATTTTAGCTACTGACTAAAACATTATACTATTTAAATGTAATAATTGTACTGCGATCTCAAACAATACAGTGCAACAATGTGACTTCATTTAATTCTGCTCTAGGATAATGTAGAAATTGATCTACTGTGTAGCAATAATCTCACAGAAAAATGTGAAACTGCATCAAGAAAGCCTGATTCAATATACTTCAGAACTTACACGGCAAAGGCATTAAATTTTTCCTACACAGTAGAAAGTGTCAGGTAATGCTCTATTGAAGAGTGCGGTTTATTACCTATTGCATACAGACACACACTTGCCAAGTCCACTGTTTCTGTGACAGGCAGCCCAATCCAGAAATGATTGATCCTTCCATATTTATAAAGGTATATATTTATAAACTACAGTACTAGAGTTGCCAAATATAATAGCACAAAAAAAAGTCTATTTGATTTGGACTCCACAACAAAATTCTAATCTCGAAATTTCCCTTTCAACCGGATAAGCTGTTACCTTGTTCCATGTCATACGTGGCCACTTTTTAAAGAGTTATGAGCTCTCTTGTGGAAAAACAGTAAAGTGACACAAGATCTGATGTTCTGTTGCGCTCCATCTACCACAGATCACCAGATTTTTAGATGTCTATTCAATTCCTCTCCAAATTTTAGAAATTGTAGGGATTTCTTTTTTTCTCTAAACAAAACACAGCACTGCAACGTGACTACACTGTAACCCTGGTGGCATTTCTTAATCTTTTGATTAAGAAATAGATTAAGGTAAATAAATTAATAAATTAAGGTATAGACAAAGGTCAGCGTGAATTTTGAGTAACATCTAAGAACTGTACAAAATGAGTGTGTACATATTGAGAGGCATTTACAGTATGTAAATGGTTTAAAAAGGATTTGGGTTTATGGTTACTAGGATAGAGATATTATAGCAATCCCTGTACAGCAGCAACAATCTCTTCCTCAAATATTAAGATAAGAAATACTAAAAATCAGAAATGTGCAATAACATTATTCTAAGAAAATGACTGTCTTGAAACTAAATTATCATACAGCTTAAGTTCTATAGTCACTTTTATCAAGGGAAAAATGATTTATTGCTCTCCATAATGTATCTCCCACTTAACAGACTTCTAAATCTTATTTAACTTATTTAACTAATTAACTAATTGTCACCCATCCATCTGTTCCCTTACCATTCCTCAACACTATTAAAAATAAATAGATTCACAACAAAAAAGAAAACACACATTCTGAAACACCCCAAATATAAGGAAAAACTGTAGGAGTACTCAGTAGGACCCAGTACACAACTGGAGCAATATGCACCATGCAGTTAGACACGTCCTAAGAGACATTAAATTTTTGCAACATTTGAAAATTGCCAATAGTTACTGTCAGGAGGCAACACTTAACCACAATAGAGAGCCACAGAAATTTCACAAACATTAAAAGGTGACAGAGATATGTCAATATATATAGATGAATTTACTCTCATACAAAGACATATTCACACACATAACAAGTTGATAGACAGATGGGCAGACAGCTGCTTCATTTCACCAAAACGGTCACCATAAAGTCCCTGGTAGTTAGACACCCTGAAGACTTGAGATCTCTAGACTGTATTTAATGCTGAATGAAAACACACTTCTGAACACCTCCAGAGTCAGATACAGATCACTTATTTTAACTGCCTACTTCACTCTACTGAATATGTAAGAAACTGAGACAAAACATAAGCTATTTGTTCTGTTGGGATCTAGTCCCTTTAAGGCCAGCCTCAACATACTTTGAGAAGAGGCAGGTGACAGCAGTGACAAAATCCATGACATCTTCTCCCCTCTCTACACACTCCAACAATTCCCATTCATGTTTTCTGCACAACTCCTGAGATGTCTGTCTAGTCGCCAAAGTAGCAGAAGAGATAATCACAGTCATTCCCAGCTGCCCAGCCCAGCCTCATCTAAACATAAAAGAACGTCTAAACATTTGACATTATGGCACCCTGCCATACTGTAATTCAGATTGTAAAGGACCTCAAAGAGGTCTCCAGACCAAAAGTCCTGCTCAAAGCAGGGTCAAAACTGAATTCAGATCAGATACAATGTCTTATTATGTTCCTAGAATTCCAAGCTGATAAAACATCAGCAACATCTTACTATTGTTTCTGAATCTGAAATCATTTAGCTTTAATTTTAGTTAGCAATGGTTTCAGTTCTTCAAAAATTAGTGATATGTTCAATAGCATGTTTTTCCATGAATAATTACTTCAAGGTTAAACAAGGTTTTAAATCTAAATAATACCAGAATCCATGCAACATTCTCTCTGTTGTACTTCTTTCTGTAAAAGGAAAAAAAAGACAGAACTACTAAAGACTAAAATATGTACTCTGAAAATATGTCAAGTGTATAAGGTGTATAAAATAGATTTATCTTTTAAGTATATGCTTTGAAACGTATTTGTTTAAATGCAAGTGATGGACCAAAGACAGCAGACCAAATTTAACTCTAGATTAACTCCTATGGTACCAAGAAAAATATAATGCACAGAAGCTGAAAGGAAGAACAAAGGCAGAAGAGAGATGGAAAGATTTCTTTGTGCATTTTACCAATGGTTGCCTGATTGTAACACCCTTTGACAGCTGTATTAGGCAGGCTAAATGGCAAAATTCCCAAAAGCTGGAGAGCAATTCACAACTTCAGCTTGTTTTTAGCATTAGACAGCTTAAATTTAAAAAAAAGAAAGGGGAGGCCTTAGGATTCCAAAGTCAACTTTGCATTTTAGGACCCCATTCTGCTAATTATTTCAGCATCACAGGTTAAAAACAAGAGAGCTGCCAGAAGGACAACTTCCTAAGCCCATATGAAGCTACCATGTTATCCTTTCCAATCAAGTGGGCAAAAAGGTTAGTAAGTACATATTAGGAGATAAATGACAAGGCTTTAGGGCTTTGTTCTCAACACATGTGAACTCTCTATCTCTTTCTACCATATACAACCTCCTTTTTCTACTATTTTCAAATCTTCTCAGCTCCTTAACCAATTTCTGCATTAACTTATGCCTAATTAAATCCAAAGGGAATTAATAGTACATGAAGTGTAGTCACAAAAAGGGAAATCCCATCACGAGTCCAATTATTTATCAGGTAACCTCCTGTTGTTTATTAAAACAACTATTGCTCAACTTGCAATTTTTTTTTAAATTATATTTAGAAACTCGAAAGTCTTTAATATTGGGTCTCAAAAAAGAACCTCAAAATCTCAAAAACAAACTACCGAAGAATGTCTACTAGAGAAAGACAAAGAATATAGAGGATGGAAATAGTGGTATAACAAAAATCTCTCTTTTGTAGCACTCCAGGGATTAATTTTGAATTTTTGTATGGCCCAAGTTAAAGAAGTTAAAGAGGAATGTAAAGCTACAGGTTTGCAATTAAAATTAAAGCATCTTACTAGAATGATATCTTACTTTTTCTTACTTTATCTTAGTTTTTCAAATATAATTTTTAAAAGCCAAAAATTCCAAAAGTAACACAGTTTCTAATCACTTGCACTATTTAGTACTCCTTATTTGAAAGCATAAAAGCATAGGAAGAAGCTAAAAATTAATAGATAACTTTTACTACATCATAAATAATCAAAGATGAAAATCAAGAAAAGTATGAATAAGTTTGGAAACAAAAAGCAGAAAGCTTTACCTTGAAAAGCAGCTGCATTACGAGATATTAAAAATTTTAATGTAGCACTTGATGTTTGAAGCACTTGCTGCATATCTTGCTTTGCTGCAGTCTGATACCTTTCTTCCATCCTTTTGGTACAGCATGTTGGATTTTTAGAAGTACAAACCTGGAGATCAACACCTAAGGAAAAGGCAGTAACATTGATTAATCTAAAACAGAAGCATGCAAAACACAAACGCGTAGAAAACAACTACCTTTTTTTTCTTTTTTTTTTCCACATGGGTATTGACACATAAAAGAAATACCCAAAGCTTTAACTTTAAAACATTTCAACAGAAGGGGATACTAATTAAAATTCTGTGGGAAGAGAACACTTACTACAATTAATGAAAGTCACATAATATAATTTCCCTGACACTGTAATCTTGTTGCAGCTGTGAATATTGCTAACTACTGGTAAAATGTACTAAATATGCACTGTACATCACAGGGGGTAGATGTCCTGCCCCTGGGAACACTCAGGATGTGGCTAGATGGGGCTCTGGGCAACCTGATCTAGTTGAAGATGTCCCTGCTCATTGCATTGCTCATTTAGAAGACCTAGATGACCTTTAGAAGTCTCCTCCAACACAAACTGTTCTGTGATTCTATGATCCTCTAGAATACTGAACTGCTGGAGCAGCTCATGGCTAGATATGCTTCTGTAAACCTTGGAATAGAAAAAGCTAACTACTTCCAAACATTATAAACTCACCAGTGGAAGCCCATTCCTGACAGGTTCATAATGAACACATATTAACTTCTAAATGCAGAAGCCCTAAATTCCACTCTAATCTCCCTAACTGTGTCTTTCTCTAATGTCAAACATTCCCATGAATCCATGACACCAACTCCCTACCTCCCTAACAGGTTGGGAGACATTTCTACAAAGGAGTAATATTTTTAAATTTTGGGCATGCTGAAATCCCAGAGGAAAACTTCAGTACTTTTATAACTTTACAACTGGAGCATAATCAAGCATAAAAAGCATTATTCATCTTCCCTGTTATCATGTGGTATTCAAAATCTTTTTTTTTTTTTCTAATGCTGTATCTAAGCAATGTTTTCTAATATAAAGGACAAACGTATCATGAAAAAATAAATATGAGAATTTAAATTATATTAATACAAAATTTAATATCCAATCCAAACTTTGCTCTCAAATATGCTATTTCACTGACAGATATGACAAGACTTCATGGACACATAGTGATAAACTTATTTTCATCTGCATGACCTTTCAACTTCTACATTTTAATTATTTTACATTACATTTTAATTATTAACAAATAATATACAGGGTAACTGCTCGCATACAGTTCCCTGTGTACACAGGCACAGACATTAATAATACTTGTCTAATATTAAAATGAAATAACCTAAAAATTAGCTCTATTACCCAAACTTTTCTTAGTATTTTAAACAATTGTTAGGCACTGCTTAGCTTTCAAACCTTTGCCTCCTGTAAAGCAGAAGCTAATTTGAAACTTTATCAAGGCTTTACAGACTTAATTATAGCTTCAAGAAGACACACTTTTAGCAAAACCCTAAAATAATAATGCATATTTGTGTATGGCTTCAGTTGACTCTTCAGTATTACTTTATTCCCTTGATTTTATGGAAAATATTTTTTAAGCACCATTTTTAACATGGATCTCATTCCCAACCCTAACAGAATTTTGTTTCATAGTTTTAAGACTGCTAATCATGTACATATAAAGTACATTTTATTTACCTACTTTTGTTCCAAGGTCATTAAACACAGCTGCTTTCATTGGCCAGAAGAAAGTAACCAAATACAACATACAAAGAACCCAACTGACTAAAAATTGAATTATTTGTCAAAACTCACAGTGGTTTTGTAGTTGATTTTTAGAGAACTGCAGAACAAGGAGCAGTTCTTACACATAGTGTTTCAGAAGACACGTAGAACAGAAAGTGCAACAGGTCCTTCCATTTCAGTACATGCAATATTAAAAAATCCACACAACTTTTCTGAGTTTTCACATCTAAAAAACTTTCCATCTTCCACAAGAACTGTTTTATCAATAACCAATTTTGAAATAGAGGGAGAAAACACTTTTTACTCCAAAAAGGCATACTGGCTATTTTCAGTACCAAATTCTAATGGCCCTACACTGTGATCCACTTTGAGACAAGATTACAAGACAGCTAGAAGTGAAATGCCTTAGCCTGTAATAAAAATACATTGAAGTAAACAATTACACTATATGAAAGATTTTAGAACTGAAAATAATCTAGATGAGTCTAGGAAAGACAGTTTGGGAAGAAAAGATAATTTTTTATGAGATGTAAGTCTACCTATCTGGAACTGATTTCAAACTTTTATTTGTGGTCTCAGCTGTATAAATCTGTATTTTCAGTACCTTGAGCTAAACAAATGCTGACAAGATGAGGACATAAACTGCCAGGAAGTGAAAATACCAGATCTGTGGCAAATTTCTGCCTATTTAGACTTCCAAGAGATCAAATCCAGGGTCTGAAAAATCCCAAAACAGATTTAAGATTGACAAACAGTCTTCCAGAAGCCAGCACTGAAATGCCATATGGCTTGAAAGCAATTGTTAAATCAGTGGTTTATTTCAAAATGGATTTAGAACCTGTATCAGACGTAAGTCCTTCTCATGCTTATCGTTTAACATTTATTAACTTATTTTTGTTACAAGCACCACTCCAGATTTAGCATTACTTGCTATCACTGTGAGTGTTGTAAAGTACTTGAGCTTTGCTCAGTAAAAGAAGATGAGGATCAGCCTCAAGCACCTGGCCCTGACTGCCGATACTGTTGAACTATCACCTCCTTTCTTTCTGTGGTTCTATTCAGCAGGCGCTAGTATTTCTCTCACCCGCACTTCAAGAGATGGTGCATTCTATCTACTGCTTTCAAACGACACTCCAGAGAGCACTGCAGTACAAGTTTGGCTCCTTCCTTATACACTCCAAGCTCATCTTCCTGCCTACTAAGAAGCACCCCAGCAAGGTGAAGCCATCCCTCCAAACACCCACACTACAGCTCACAGAATAAAACACATTTTCCTGTCCAAAAGCCCTCTTATTTCTGAGACTGCCTGAATTTCGGGGCAGGGGAACCCACAGTGTCTTAGCATCACAAAAACATCATATTGGTCCTCAAGGAGATTCAAGAGACAATCCCATGGAGTGAAGACAGTCCATTCCTTCTGCAGGACACCAGTCTTAAGCAATGTAGGCATGACCCTGTCTGTTCCACTCAGCATGAGATTCAGGAGGCACTACTCTGTCTTCTTGAGCTGCACCACCTTTCAGGCCAACCCAGCTAGCTAAGTCCTAAGACTCCTGAGCACTGATGACTTCCTAGAGAAGTTGAAAGATAGGAGACTGAGATAGGGGAATTGCTATACAGCTGAGCCAAATTTTTTGTTGCTTTTAATCTCCAAATATTGTCAAATTTTTTTCACGGTAATCATTCTGTGGATCTAGAGGTGAAATGTTCACACACACACACAAAATTATGTTGTTGGTGACAGTCCTTTCAAAAACAGATGTGATACGATGAACATCAGTAACTGATTTGACAGAACAATTCACTTTCTGTCTCTGACTAAATCATTTTCCAGAGCTCTGAATGTCTCTTAAACAAATAGAGTAATTAGAAGTGTCCCTGCCTCCATACAACAAACAGAAAAAAATAATTAATTTGACTTGAGGTAGAACCAAGATCCAAATTACCTGAATGTAAATTATACTGGAAACCCAAATTAAAATTCCAATATGATCTTGGAATTGCATTAAAGTAACCTGCTAGATTTTAAACTGACTTCTATTGTTACTTTAAGGGGAATTAGGAAGAATATTTTAATTTGAATTAACAACAGTACCACAGACCAACTTTTTCTGACATTATCTCATCCTTCCATCATGGTTTTTCTCATTTATTCAATTTCATATTCATAATGATTCTCTACCAAAAAGCCTTCACAATAAAATTTATACTAATCACAGTCTTCACTCTCTTTTATGCTTCTTGTTCTCATAATTGCATACATGATCTCCCAACATTTGCTGAAAAGAAGCCTAAGATTGATCCCTGGAAAAAAAAACAACCCAAAACCAAAAAAGCAAACAAACAGAAACCAACCAAAAAACAAACTGCTGAAAAAAAAATCTCCTTTTTACCCTGAGTTTACTGGGAATTGTTTGATTCTAAAGTGACAGCAAATGTAACATTTTTCAATAAGCCACAGAATTCAGCTTTTTGGTGCAAACAGAAGCCTGAAGGTTTGTTCACTGGAGTAACTACCAGAGACTCTCTGTTAAGAAGGCAAGAGTGAATGGCTTACCAGCCGTCCCACTCTGCTCTTGCTAAAATCATATCATAGAACAGTTTGGGTTGGAAAGACCTTACAGAATACCTAGTTCCAACCCTCTGCCATGAGAAGGGACATCTTTCATTAGACCAGGTTGTTCAAAGCTCCATCAAGCTTGGTCTTGAACATTTTCAGGGACTGGGGATCCACAATTTCCTGTTCTACGCGTTCTGAGAAAAAGGAACCAGAAAAATATTACTTGCAACCAAGATAACAGAAGAAGAGCTCTGAGCTCCCATTTAATCTGTCTGAAAAAAAAAAAAAAATAAGCTGCTGAAATTAGCTAAAAGCTCTAGATTTACTAGCATATAGGGTAAAAGAGTGGAAGTCTTCAAGAAAGTTGCTTAGGTTACAATACCAGAAAGGTTATACAATATCTTGAACACAAGAAATAAAAACATGTAAAAAAAGTATTTTGCAGACAACAATCTTTTTTTCAAATAATCCATGTCATATTGATTATCCAGAATAAAATAAAGAAGTCCAAACCTAATCTTTGAGTACTTTTCATATTTATTTCATTCTTCATACAGCAAAGAAGTGTCTTAGGATTTTTAATTACTGAGGTTATTCTGTACAGTCCCACCAAAAATGTACTTGTAGCACAAAACCAGACAGGAAAAAAAAAAAAACAAAGTATTTTTGCAACTAACATTTAAAATCAGCATGAATGCAATAAATGTTCCAATATAGCATGTGATGGAACTGAGCATAAGTCTGCACTATAGTTCCCAAATCACATTTACAAAACACCAAGAACAGCTAGTCAAATGTCGTGATTGCTAGGGGTAGCAATAAGTATCTTGGGATTGGTAAATATATTAATTTATCTTGATTATTAACTGCCATTTTCAACACTATTACATCCTGTACTATGTGAACAATAATGCAAACTCTAATTTGTAGTTACCATATCCTTCAAGATCACCTTCATGTAAATATATATATGTCATTTTTGCATAGGATGACAGAGGTATTTTTTTTTCTCCCTTAAAGATATACAACCTTTATACAACAGCCACAAAACTACCTATATAAAATAATGCAAAGGTTTTTGAGCTAATACATATTCAAAATACAGACACATGACAATCTCCAGAACTAGAATTTGCATGATTTATTTATGTAAGACTACTTTTTTTATTCCTACTAAGATGAGGAAAAATGTTAATGATACAGCCCTTTTTTTTGTACATGCAATGAGAGCAAGGCAAATATAAGCCCTGTAATTTCATTGACTTCCATTGTATACAAAAACATACATCAACCAGCATTCCTGCTCTTCTTCAGCTGGTGATCCTACTCCAACCCAAAGACTCAGCTTAAGACATTTAAATGAAAGTGCTCTTAAACAAGTTATGTCTAAGGTACCACTAAAATAAAGACACAGAGGCAATGCAGAAGAGGCATTTATGCAGCTTATCATGAAGACGACACCAACATTTAATAATGGAGTAGCTCCAAGATGCTCCAAGTGCACTGGCTGTCCACTATGGCTGCCCACAAGGAGCACCTGAGACGCCAAAGGTATCCCACCCACCACACACTGCGCTACCAGAAAGATATGTTTCCCAGAGTTACTGCATCTGTCAGCCCCATTGAGAACATTATGGAAACACTAAGAAAATTAAAATTCTCCCAGATGCCCACATTTCAGCAACAAATTTAAACTTTATAAAAGCAGCTTGGACACCTCTTTTCATAAGTGGACAGCTACAAAAAAACGTGTGTGTGTTGCATGGGTGCATGTGTGTGTCTTATACACAAACACATTTTTAGTGTTATCAGAAAAAAATTGAAAATAATTTTTACATTTTGCCTCAAAAGAAGGCTTAATATGGAGGATCAGTAGCAAAAAGTGACATTTCACATCATGCTTTGAGCCTACGAACACCTTTAATCACACCTAAACCTTCTGAAATACTCATTTAATCCCTGTTTTCTTGTCACTGTCAATTCTGGATAGATTTTACTGTTTGCAATTATTTGTTCCATGATATCTGAGATCAGTGCTATTCAGAACAAGAACTCTGGCTGCCCACAGAAATGTAATTCCTTCAAAGAGTGAAAGGCTGCTGACCACGCAGCTGTACCACACCTCCTGCTGCCCACCGTTTGCAAGGGCAGCAGCAGAGAAAGGAATTCTTTTATATTCTTACAATTCAAATATGGCTTTTCCTTCAACCAGGAAATGCAGAAAAGTTAAAATCAAAAGAAGAAAGTGAGTGGAGGTATAAAAAAATATTATAGGGGAAAGGAGGAAATCGGAGGAGCAGAGCTGAAGAAACATATGAAACATATGTAAGGTAGTCTAGTTCCTTGAGTCAACATATTTCCTCCCTATCCCTAGTACACAAATGAATGGTATAGTAATCAAAATAAATGACAATGACAGACAAAGTATAAAAATTACACTAGGCTATGGAATGAGATATAGACATAGATAAAGTGATACCATCCCGTTCATACTGAGATTATTCACACAAATAATCAACACAAAAAAACTACATTGCCGACAGGGCTGTAATTCAGATTTCACTTTCCAGACTACTTCCTTTGCACGGTACCTGTCTCATCAGGCTTTTCAGCTTAAGTGTTTATTTCCTTTTTATCGAAGAGAATTATAAAATCTTTAGGTTAGGACAATGCACAAACACTGCATGTTGATAAACGTACTAGTAATAAATATAGTACTCTAATTTGTGAACTATGCACTGAAATATTGACTGTTCTAAGCATTGTCTGTCACATTTAAAGCTAGAGTCATTAAAAGCTGTATTTTGGAGGGATTCCTTTAAAATAAACCTAGTATGTCTTAACTTGTATAGTTAATAAAAAACACATAAATTATCTTAAAAAAAATAACGAGGCTAGCTATTGATATTTTAAAGTGAGGGGGACATTAAGTCAGCTTTTGTTGCATTTTTTGTCAAAAAAAAAAGTACTGACTCACATTTACTAGTTAACTTGTCATCCAAACATGAACACACTTTACAGACATGTAAAAAAAAAAAAAAGTTGTTTTCTCATCCTACATTGCTGATCACTAAAATACTTGCATTTTAGTTCTCGGAGTTCAGCTAAGGTTCTCACAAACCTGGAAAAACCTCAAACCTAAAATCGTACACCTTACTATATGCGTGCATTGCAGCGTCATTCAGTATCTACTTTAAAAAAAAAAAAAAATCATTGCTGATACAGATGCTAGATATACTTAAATTGCCATTAAGACTCTACTTTCCCGGCAATTTTATTCCATGACATTCCAGTGACAGGCAGACATCCAGCAGGGAAGATGCGCAGCCCGGCCACTTGCCGCGGTGTAAGTCATCCCCATCTCACGGCAGAGTAACTCCAGCAGCGCCAGTCGCGGCTCGGCGGCTTTCCCCAGCCCCAGGCTCCCATGGACCTGTGCCTGCCCACGGCCGCCTGGAAGCGGGACGGCCCCAGCTGAAGGTCGCTCTGCTCCGCGCGATACGGAGTGGAGGTGGGCGGGCTCGAGGGGGTTTTAGGCAGGTGTCGGGGTGCTCCAGAGCCCACAGCCCCACAACAGCTTTTTCTCTCTTGAGTAGGGGGCCAGTCGGGATGTCGCTACGGAGAAGCGGGGGACCCGACGTGCCCGCGGGGCCCAGCCCCGCCGCCAGCACCACCCACCCATCGCCGGCGGCGGCACCAAATTCAAACCCGGCGGCCCCGCCGCTCCCGGAGCTTGCTGCCCCGGCAACCCTGCCTTACCTGCCCGCGGGGACTCCGGGACGCCGCCGAGCGGGCCGAGCCGCCGCAGCTGGAAAACTTTCCGGACCGCCTCGCAGCTCGGCGGCGGCTCCGCACTCTGCGAGGCGGCGGCCAGGAGCAGGACGCCGAGGGTCAGGACGCTGAGGCGGAAGCTCTTCACCCCCATGGCCCGCGACCGCCGCCAGCTGCCGCAGGGAGCGCGGCCGAGGCGCCCCGAGCCACCGCCGCGGGGGAGGCACCGCCCGCCTCCCCCGCCGGGAGCCTCCCCCGGCCCGGCCCGGCCCCCGCCCGAGGAGGGGCCCTCACGCCCAGGGCGGCAGCGGGAGGGCGCTGCCATCCCCCGGGTCGGGGCTGGGGACAAGAGGAGAACCCCTCCCACCACCTACACCTGGGAGTGCGAACTGCGGAGGAGAAACCCTGAGGCGAAGGAGGCGATGGCATAGTAGGGGAGCAATTTCGAGCTAAAAACACGCAAAAAAAAAAAAAAAAGAAAAAACCGTAGCGCTGTGGGGAACTGCTAGCAACAGGCTTAACACTGTCAGTAAGGTACGCCATTCAGTTTGGCTTGAAATGGCAAACTTTTGTTTTTCTGAAAAAAGTTTCCAAGAAATCGGCAGTCCTCAAGGCATCTTCAAAAGGTTCTGTTTCCTGAGGCAAACGTGACACGGGACCAATTTACAAGTCCCTGTAATGTCTATAAGCTGAAGTCCGATGGGAACTGTACGAGCAGGCAAGGAGGCAGCTAGGAGGCATCACGGTATTTTTAGAACAGATTTCTTGATGCCAAAATCAAGAATCTTCTCTATGCACAAATTTTAAATGTCACACCTTACCCCTTACAGCAAGAAATTTTTCTTAATGTGCTTTTAAGCTGCAAATGGTCATTCAGTACTGTAAAACATAAGGCTTTCAATTTAAAAGAAATCTTTAATCCGTGTCAGCAATTTCAACAGAAGACTGCAAAACCAGTTCTAAGTGTGGATTATTCTACACATTCATTTGAACACAGTTAACAAACCGAAACACAAGTTATTAAAATAGGCACTAGAGATCAGCCACTACTGAGCAAAGCAATAAAACAACGTCATTATCCAGTCTACTGACAGTTCATAAGAAGGGGAGAGGACTAGTATTTCTGAATCATCCATACTCCTGAACTTGGCAACTTCCTTCTGTCAGCAATCAGCAAGCTCCAACATAGATTATATGAAATGTCCTCTAACAGAATTTGTTCTACTGTTCTTATACATTGTTAAAAAGATGATGATAAAGAGTGAACACAGATGACAGTTTTCAGTCTTATTGATAAAGCACACTACAGCAAAAGACATTTTAGGCCCCCCATGAAGAAAAGGGGGGGGGAGAGAATGCTACAAATAAAAAGATTTTGTTTCTATTAAAATAAATAAATAAATTGCAATGTCTTGTGTGGAAGCTAGTTGTCGGTGAACCTCTTATCATCCAGTAAAATACTCTTTTTAAAGTATTTAAAAATATCACTGGGTAAAACAACCTGAACATGGGAGTCAGAGAACACAGGATCTTATTCAGCAGCTTAAAGGTGATAGAGCAAATTCTGGAAATGATGAAATTCCATCCTCAACACCAATTACAAGATGTGCAGCACTCACAGTAAGCTTACGAAAATAAAGTACTATATTCAGGGAAAAATTCTTGCAAGAAAAACATGTAATTGCTCCTACTTATAGATTTATCCTTTACCACACAACCACACGGAAGTTTGCCTACAGCAACAGATGATGTTGGGAAATCTCTAGAACCCCTTTGCTTCAAACTTTCTCATGTCCTCTACTAACAGCAATTCAGAGAAACCTCTATCCTCCAACTCTACAGTTTAAGGGAAAAGGGAAGTTCTTGGTAAGAAATTGAATGTACATGTTTTGGCTAGATCTTACACAATGAGAAAGATTTTAGTTTAGTCCAAAAGGTGAAGTCGGTTTTTGTTTGTCTGGGGATTTGGAGAGTTGTTTTTTTGATTTTTATTTTTTGTTAATAACTTTAGCATAGGAAGTGTGAAGGAAGTAATTATTTTTGACTTCATTAGGAGATTGAATTTAATTTCAGGTTTTATGCTTCCACGCTTCCTTGATTTGGGTCTTAAAATGTGTATTTTAGCTAACAGGTTTCATGAATTAATTTTTCTGGGATATACTGGACTGAATTTATATTTGCTAGTGCTGTTTAGCTAGTAATGAGGAGGCTCCTGTCTCTTACCGTGGAACTCACTTTTTGTGACCATATTTTGGATCTAGTGCTTTTTTGTGGGCACATTTTGCTTTTGCTGCTAGCTCTAGTTCTGCACTGCTTGTCACCTTACTGTATCATGCCTGGGAACGCTTTGATAAGAGCCATCCAGATGCGTCTCCATGGGATGGCAGGTGGCCAGAGTGGGGCTGCTGTTCCTGTGCTGCTGTACTGGGCAGGCTGGATCTTCAGTTCTAGTTCTGAATTTGAGTTGAAAGGACTGTGACCTGTGAATGAGTCCACGATGGAGAAGAGATGCGCCTGCAGTCCATGGAGAACCTCATGCTAGAGCAAGTGGATGCCTGAAGGAGGATGTGACCCTGTAAGATGCCTGTGATGGAGCAGGTTTTCAGAAGAAAGGAACTCCTCTCATTTTAACATGAGAATATATATACATATATATGAAGTTTATGAGAGAACATTAAGACTTGCATCTTCTTGGCCAAACCCTTAGCATACACACCTGATGGCTCATCATGGATATCTAGCTTAAGATGACTTAGGAACACCCCTTCTACAAATTCTCCCTTTGCCTCTTTTCTTTATTCACAAAGAATACTACTCCATTACCTGAAACACTCATGCAATGCCAGAGGAGGATCTTCAATTTATCCCTCTAAATCACAGGAAGCTAAAATGAAGGTTAGTAGTATTTTTGCTACACAGCTACGTTTCCTTCTCATCTACACAAATGACATTCTCCTTTGGACTGTCATGTTTTAACAACTGAAAACACTTTATATGGCTGTGCCACCTTTCCTGTTTTCATCCCTTCAGAGAGTTACTACAAAAATAACCCTTTCCAACCTGTTGCTTTGACCACGTTCACTTTTCTCATACTCCTTATCGTGTCAAACACAAGTTGCTTGGCTTTGATTGCATATCCTTCTAAGCGGTCCCATCTCAGGACGCAAAGGGGAGTTCCTGTTTCCAAAGGACTACAGCACGTGTCTCCATCTTCAAGTTCTGAAGTGATCACATACTTTCATGCTGCTTTGTCTCATGTATGTATCTGAAAGTAGTTCAAGCATCTATTAAGCTGCCTCATAGTAAAAAAAGATTTGAAGACTGATTTAGAAGAACAAGTATTTTGACTATTATTTTTATACATACCACAGTAAAGGAAGTTCTTTATTGATTAAGAAGACAGACTAGTGTCTTTGCTGACTGGTATGTTCACATCATCTTCCAGTGTCAAATTCTATTTCTGATCTAATATATGCTCTCTGTAATTTCTTGGTTTTGATACCATCCTTTTGATTTTTATATAGCTTTGAACAGAGTAGGGATCATAGCACTGAAATAGGACTTCTTGAAGTTATAGCAACAACATGGGGAGGAACAACAACAAAAGAAAAACCACACAACAAATCACCCACTTTTTCTTCAGTTATAGACAACTATTATAATGATTCTATAGATAGTAAGAAAAAATAAAAATAAAATTAAAAAAAACCAAAAAACACAACCAAAAAACCAAAACCACCAACCAGTTCTCTTATATTAGGCTGGGAAAATAAAGTTAGTAAAATAGGACTAAAAGATACACAGTGTTTGTATTCATAACAACACATAACAATAACACACTTAACTGGCGATACCATAAACTTAGTGAGGCCTGTAAAACTTCACACACAACTCTTAATTCATCTACTGGTTCATTAAAAGTAGAGCTGAAAGAGCTGATACTAGTCTTGCAAATGTTTTAACTGATTTTGAGATAAAGTCTCATAAATGTTGGTTGGCATACCTTGATTTTTTTAAAAGAAGAGAAAAAAAAATGAATTTTAACTAAGAATCTTTCTGAACCCTTAATGAGAAAACTGTATCATTGTTTCATGCTTGCAACGACAAAGAGTTGTCAGCTGAGAACTCAGGTAAGGACAGATGAGAGAGAGAACACTGGGGAAGCAGATGCAGACCATAGAGGAGTACATTACAATCATAATGAGGTTTGGGAGGGACCTTTAAGCGTCCTCTAGTCCAATTCCCCTATGTTGAGCAGGGACATCTTCAACAATCACAGACCACCAGCATTGCTCCTCCCACTCCAAGCACGCAGCGAATGCTATTCTTCCATTAACTTCACTTGAGGCTTCCCCCGCGCATTACGGTCCCAGCATCCCTGCTCTCCCAGGTCCCAGCCTCTCCATAACTCCCTACACGCTCTCCATCTTCCCAGGGAAATCAGCCAGCTGCCGTCACCAGGCGGACCCGAGGGAGTGCTGTGCCTGCCTGCTGCCGCTGCTCCCGGGAACTGCCCCGCTCCCGCGGGTGCACCCTCGTCTAGGGGACACAGGGTGGGAGGAAAGGTCCTCGCCCCATCATACACCACCACAGCCGCCTCTGAGCGCTGCAGTGCTGACCTCCCACTTAAGGTGAAAGTGAAAAGGGTGCAGAAGTGCAGCCCTGGGATCCTGCCTACACAAGCACAGCTTCCATTCTTCACATTAATTCCAAATTCCAGTACTCACTTCAGAGTACTGTATCCAGAAGGTAATTGCACATCTATTTTCATAAAGGTTTTATTCATTTAATAATTTATACTTCAAACATAGCTCAGCAGTCAGCCATTTACTTTCAAAAGTACTTCTCCTTACTGCTAGGTACACTGTTTCCATGGAGACTTCCTTAGATATTCTGGGGTGAACACTCTTAATCTCTTATTTTCTTTTCATTTTAAAAATCAGGACAGACCTAGGCAGTCCTGCAAGTCAGTAAAGGTTTAAATTTCCATTAGTAACAACTCTCAGCCTTGTATTTTTAAATTACTAGGAGCTACAGTTGCCAGTGTTGAACAGGTGACCTACCGGAGCATTAGGTCCCCCCTGAATTGACACACTAAGGTGAAGAATTCATTCAAGGTCTCACATTAAGATCAAAACACAGTAACTCTGTTAC